AAAATACATTAATGAGTAGCACTTTAAAATAATGTCACACAACTGAGCATTATTAAGGTATCAGAAAGTGTTTAATCCACCATCACATTTTATTCTCCCTAGTATGTAATTCATACATACAGATATAAATGTTTATTCATGACAATAAGCTTATTTATAACATGTTCATTGTATAATTTACAAATCAAAATAAGTGATTAACAAATGGTTAAAAGATGCATATGATTAAGATATGAAGATAAACAGAATTCTCCAAATACCGCTACAACACTATTTTTGGTACCGTAAATAGTATTCTACCTTTTTATCCCTCATGACTTCTTTTTAACTTTTTTTGTAGCATTATCATTTTAAATGCACGCGCACAGCAGTCATATTAATCTTACTACATATTACTATTATTATTAGTAGTAGTAGTATTAGCACTGATGGTGCATTGCAAGGCAGCCCCTGTCGCTGTAGAATGAAATACCTTATGAGCAAAGACAGAAATAAACTACATTATTTAAAAGTTCAGTGATGCTACCATATCAACAAACACCATGGCGACAAGGTTCAATTTAGTTTAATTTATACAGCAACAAATCGCAACAACAGTTGCCTCAAAGCACTCGATACTGTAGACCCTACAAACACTTCCAGCACAGTTACTCCTGACACAAAATCTCCTCTTTCTATCTGCACACTACAAAACAACAGATAGAAACACACAGATACTAATCTGCCATCACTTCAATGCACACAGAATCCAAACATTAGAATAAATTTTATTATTCAAATCATTTTTCATTCTCAATCCCTGCTCCATCTCTCTGGACAGCAGACATCTAAATACTTTGTTAATCAGTTATTTAGACTTTATAAATGACACAATGACCATGTTATAAATAAATAATTATAAATAAGCATCTTAATCAAGAATTTTTATATTTGTATTTAATGAGGAGTAATGGTTTATAAGTGATGAAGCACTTACTAATACCTTAGTAAAGCAGGTTAGTAAGTTTAGGGTGACATTATTATGATGTGTTACCCATTAACATACATGGGAAGAAAGTATAGTGAAACATATTTGTTCATTTTCTCTTGGTTCCAGTTTTCACACTGGAGGCTTCACTGGCTCGGCCCAGATCAGAGGGGCAAACGTCCAATGATGTTTCTCATGGTTATGAAAGCTTCCAAACTCTCATACAAAACAACAGTCAAGAAACCAAGAACCTGAGACACCACCTATGGACGCTGGAGAGCCAGGTACTCTTCTCGTGTACATATAATGTGACACGGGGCCAATGACACGATGGATATTGAAGTTTGTAGGATTGACCCATGGCTGACTTGATCTTTCCTGTGTTGCTCTGGTAGAGTGGATCAATCGCTGCCCCATGTTCTTGGGCAATATGTTGATCCCTAAATTGCTGTTGATGTACTCACTGGCATGTGAGCGTGTGAATGTGACACAAAGAGTTTGGGCATACATAAAGGTGCAATGGGAATGTGTGTTATTTGGTGAATGAGACTTACAGTGGGAAGCGTTTTAAGTGCTGAGCTTATGTAGAAAGGTACTATTTAAGAAGCAGTCCATCACTGAATATACAGCGCATCTGGAAAGTATTCCAAAATGGCCTGTATGGCAGTTTGTCCAGACAGAAGCCAAAATCATGCATGATGATGGGCAGCCGTGCCCCTCTCCACACGCCTGTCTCACACACACACAGCGAGCCAACGACAAGTATCATAGTCATAACAACTCTATAACAGAGCTTATCTATGTGCTTTGCTTATAGTGAATCATCTTTATTCTTAATCAAAGATATAAATCAAAGTATAAGTCTGATTAATATGTTAGCTGAGACATGAGCTGGGTAATGAAAATTATTCAGATGTCTGGATTTTTGTGTGCATAGACATGATCCAGCTGCAGCCTCAGTAGATGAGTATCTGTGTGTGGCTGCAGAGATGTGAAAGATAAGAAATGTGCTGCCAGCCCAAAATTATGTTCTGAAAGATTCTGGAAAAGAGAAATGGTACTAAGGGTTGAACGGAGAACCATAAGTCAGATGTGATTTTAATGACAGTTTAATTATGCTTAATACTGATGAGAATATAACCAATACAATGAATGAGAAAATATAATGATGTCATGATTCAAGAAACAACATTTCTTTTGAATCACGTATGTGGAAAAGCCACATAGATAGATGGTAAGATATGGCTGGACATCAGGTAATAAGTTGTTTGTTCCTTTCTCTTCTCTGAGATGAGCGGTTCAAAAGCTTAGATTATATTTATATTATAATACAGCTCGGTAATAAAGGGGTAACAGTAGGGTAACAAGGGGGAAACAGGAGGGTAATAATGTAGTATTTCTAAGTTTTAATATCCAAAGTAATAACCATGTAATATCCAAGTAATATCGAGGTAGCAACAATGGTTACAGTTGAGTGTTATTGCCCTGAAATTTATGTAATAGGATAATAAGAGCCCCCAAAATTGGGTGTAATAATGTGGAAATAGAGCTCGGTAATAAAGCAGTAATAGAAGGGTAACAAGGACAAAATAAGAGTGTAATAATGTGGTAATTTCTAAGTTATTACCACTCAATTACCAGTGGTAGTTTCTATATAAAAAGCAGGAAACAAAATGCCAAACCGCCTGTTTCCATTTAATAACACATTAATAACCTGTTAAAGCTAACTTAAAGAAGTGTGGTTATTACCTGGAAATATCTCAGGTAGTTTCCATGTAATAAGAAGGAAACAGATGCAAAACCACTTGTTTCTATCTAATAACACATTTATAACTATGTAATAACCTTTTAAAGCACATTTAAAGAATCGTAATGATGACCTGGAAACACCTGTGGCGGTTTCTGTGTAATAAGCAGGAATTTAACACTATGGTCATGATACCTGATTAAAAGAAGCACCAGGAAGTCTGTAATGAACTGGAAACACTTAAACACAAAATGTTAAGAATTAAGTTTAAAACAATAACACATATGAATACATATGTGTTATTCTCTGCACAGGAGTGTAGAGGACCCTCCATCATGGCAAAATTTATACATGGATGACAACACATAATATGGTCAATATAGTTAAGGTGGGAAAGAAAGTGGAGCACATTTTTAAAACTGTGATCAGTCGTGGCAAATCATCAAACATCTGCTGACATCTTGGTGAATTGAGTTGTGTAAATCCACAAAGAGCAGTAAACCTAAAAGCAGTAGCCCAGATCAGCTTAGCACAGCTTGTACATCAAGAAAATCTACTGGACCCGCAGATGTATTCTAGAAATTCTTGTGAGTTGTGATTCGTTTCTCCACACTGAGCCATTCCAGCTGTCTTTAGGGTTCCCCCATCTGTTGAATCCCACAACGTAGGCAACAGAAAATAGGAATACAGGAAAATAAAAAATATCTCTATCTACTAATATTTTAATATTGCCTTAACATTGCACAAGGCTTAGTCAGCTTTACACAAAAACATCCTCCAAAAAGATGCTTTTTACTTTCTTGCATTTACACACTACAGGTGTACTTTCTGTGTAGCTGGCCTGTACCACTACACTTGGTGTCTTACACTTCTGTCTTTGGAACGTTTGCCCCCCATTCCTTCTTTCACAGTCTGTCTTTGCAGGTGATTGATGGATGGTGTGCTCATCAAAATAAAGCTAACATTGTTAGTGTTATTCCACATTACCTGGACTATATCAATATTCAGATCATACAGAGATTAGTTAAAATATAATATGTGGATGTGCAACCATAGTTTTCCCCAATCGGGAGCTGAGTACTGATTTGTATTTCTTTAGGTTTGGATGAATACATTTGTAAATAAGTGTACTCCAATCGCTTTGTGTTTGTGCATGAATTGAACAAAAATTCAACAACAATACATGTCAGCCTTCTAAAATCCCTGAGCACTAATCTGAGCAGGAGTACCTTATACACAAAGCTTATTCATCTATAATAATTCCTTTAAAAAAGTGTTTCCATGTTTTTACAGTTTAACATCACAGTCACATATTTTACCAGATTAAAGGCCTGTGTGGCGAGGAAGGTCAGCTGGACAAACTGAAGACCGACCTGAGCCTGCTCAATACCACCACCCATAACCTGGAAGGCAAACTAACAGTCATCAGCTTGAAGCCAGGTCTGTGCATGTGTTTATGTACACAACAACAGGGTAAAGCAACAACTATCACACAGGGCATTGTCTGATTTCAAGCTTTAGATCCACATCATTGTTGTTTAGACAACACTGAGGTTATTGTACTCTGTCCTACAAGTTTTAGAAATGTGGTGTTTAACCAAGAATTTACTTTAGATTGCACTACGTAGGCAAAGACTGTGAGGAATTTAATGAGGAATTTCTAACCAAGATTTATCCTTTAGCATGCACATTAAACAAATATATAGGGTTGCCTTCATTTGTTTGGTAAAATTAGAAACATCCGGACTCAGAGTGATGCCACACAGCTAGTGCTTCTATTGTGATAAATAATTATCGGGTCACTCTAAAAGCTCCTGAAAAGCCTTCAGTTGATCCTGAATGCTACAGCAAGAGTATTAACTGGAACTAGAAAGAGAGACAATATTTCTCTCTTTAATTTGGACTTGAATTTAAAGTCTTCATCTTCACATGCAAAATGAATAACGAGGCCACGCCATAAGAATTTATAGTAAGTTTCTAAAAGTAGAATAGAAGGCAGAGCCTTCAGCTATCAGACCCCTGTATTATGGACCAGCTGCCAGTTTGGATGAGTGAGACAGACACTCTCTGGGCTGTGAGGTCTCTCGCTCGCCTCATCCTCCACCGAGACCCAAGGGCCCCCCACACTCCAGCAGGGGCCCGACAGAGTCAGGGGGCCAGGTCCTGCCAAGCAGCCGCTGAAAGGGAACCAGTACACAACTGAATACTCAGCCTCTGACATCCAGAACCATCATTGCTCTGCCAGGTGGGGACACCAGCCACTGGCAGGGACTGTGGCGTGGAGAAATAGGTCCCCACACCTGGGGGAGCCTGAGATGTTCTAAAAGAGTTGGATGCTAAGACCTAACCTGACACGTAGACATAGGAAAACAGGCACACACAAGCATACATGCCCATCCTCATGCACACATATAAACACTCTCACACTTGCCCAACATGGAGACACTCAGAGATGAATGCAGTACACACACACTCACACTCCCCATACACACACTATACTCCCAAGTCCAGACACCAATGCCTCCAGAGGGGCAATCCACTCACAGACCCATGAGATGGGGTAGAGACAACCACACAGCCCTGGCTGGAACGCCAGTCCCAGACCCCATGTCTCCCTCCACCAGCTCATATGTGGTGTTGATGCTGGCCTATAGAGCATTTATAGTACACTTTGCAAAGGAGGAATGAAAAAATAGGATGAATGTTTCCTAAGTTGCAAAGCTTTGACAACAGAACAAGCTTGAAACTAATCAATGTGACTGATTGTCCCGGAACAACAATACCTCAGGTGTAATCAGATGCATCATAACACATAGTGTAATAAAATACTTTCTAAAGTTTATCAAGCATAGCAATGTATTTACGTATGTGTTCTCAGGACCCCCAGGTCCTCCAGGCACCAATGGACATCCAGGTACCCGAGGAGAAAAAGGCAGCAAAGGTGAGGTCAAAGTTACAGAAGCTGTAATTGATGTATTTATATTAACTCAGTCACTGCCAGCCATTTGAAAATGGCTGGCAGTGAAACACAACAAGACTTGCACCACATTTTTGTCTCACTGCGCAATCCCTTACGTGCGCAAACCCTGCACCTCCTTGCAGGTCTACTTTTACTGCTGGTGGGCTTCAGTTCAACTTACGTTGACTGCCATTGACGTCTATAGACATCAATGGCAGTCAACGTAAGTTTTTCAATTGACGTCTATAGACGTCAATGGCAGTGAATGAGTTAACAATGTGACATAAATCTGCCAATGTGAAATGTCATATTCAGTAAGTTTAAAGCAGCAGCCAAGGCCAAATGGAACGAGCTGATGACAGAAGCATTCAGAAAAGCAGTGTCACATCTGTATTTATTTTTACAGTGTTTAGTCTAAAACCTGCTTTGGTAAAGAACAAGAAAAGTTTCAACTGTAAAAACTTCATTCGTTAGAAGATGCTGTGGGGTCGTGTGCAGCAGAATACATTAGCTTTCAGCTGCTGCTCTGGCAATGATCCCAGCATTGATGACGCATCATCTCCTGTCAGATGGATGATGAGACCTGGTTGATGGATGAGCTGCAGCCGTTATTTCACATAGCTTCACAATGTAGTGCACTGACATTTGCTGCATGAAATCTCTATCAGGGCTGGACTTTTACTCACACTGACAAATTAACCAGCTGTAATGCATATATTTCCCAATAGATCAAACTCTGCATGCCCTCAAGCTCTCTGCTAAAAAAAAGTCTTTGATCAAACTTATATTTTATGATAATTACATTTAGTTGGTTTTTGTGGTTATTTGTTGGTTGATTTGTCTGTGAACCACTCGGCTCTAAACAAGGACACTAAGGACAGATTGTTGATTCACTAACATCTTCATTTTCCCGAGTCCTCACATAATAATTCTCAGTTAGTCATCAATTTAATTCAGTTTTTATCTTAATTCATTGCCGTTATCACAGTGCATTTCATTATGTAAAGACTGTAGAATATTAGAGAAAGATAAAAGATGAAGAAACAGTTTGCATCGGTGTACAGAGAGAAGATGAAGCCTTCTCAGGCAGCTGCTGTGACCAGTTGTGGGGTTAAAGCGTCAATATGTTTCTTTTTTACTGCACTGAAAATTTTAATTAGTGAATCTTATTAAGGATGATTAAAAAGGATGTAAAGCGAGTGCTGTAAAAAGAAGTGTTTTAAGTGTAGTGCACTTATACCCAAGATTTACCTGTTATTGAAGTGCTTCAGACGTCCACAGAGATGAATGAAAAACAAGTTCCGTCACCTAAAATAGTCACGTTCTGTGCGGTGACAAAGTATTTGACAGCTCCCTGATTTCTTACCTTTTTGTATTTCTGTTGCACTCACTTGTTTCCGATGTTTCAAATCATCACATCATTTTAGACAAAGATAACCTGAGTGAACAGGAAATGCAGGTTTTAAATTGCAATTTCATTTATTGGGAAAAAAGATATCTAAACCTACCGGGACCTATATCAAAATGTAATTGTCTCCTGAAAAGATTACCTGAGTTAGCAGCAAGAACTCCAATCAATCATTTGTCATAATCTTTCACATCACGGTGGAAGAATTTTGGTGCACTCTATTGTTTTAATTCAGCAGCATTTGAAGGTTTTTAAGTATGAACAGTCTGTTTATGGTCATGCCAAAGCACCTCAATTATATTTACCTTCATTTTGTTGTTTTTGTGAAAAATGTCTAACATGATTTGCTGTCCTAAAGCCTTAGGAATAGTTTTGTAACCATTTCCTGGCTGATAGATGTCAGTTTGTTTAGATTGCGGCATGATGTGTTGGCCTACATCACTTCTTAAAATGTGGTTAAGTACATGTATCACTGGCTTTAAAAAGATTCTTTTTTTAAATTTTGTTTTTGCTACTGGAAACTTTGGACAGGTCTTTATCTATTTTTCCACTAAATTCAGATTTAAAGTCCAATTAAAGATCATGTATATTGTATTTATATATTCGATATAATTACGTTGGCAAAGAAAAAACATTACTTTGAGTCATCGGCCCCCCAGGCAAATGCCCAGTATGCCAGTCCAGCCCTGTGCTCATATATTGGTTTCTATTACTTGTACATCTTGATGAAATCTTCCCCCGTGTTCATTTCTGAGATTGGTCAAATCTGGAGAAAGAAAGTTGTGATAATAACATACAAAGTACATCGTTACTGACATTTTGACCCCATTAGCTGATGTGCTTTTGTGGATCTCAATCAGGCACCCCTGTGTCAGGAAGGTCTGGAACCTGCTCTCAGTTTAAAAGGTCGGAGTCTCTGATCCTACACTCAAGAAAAAAAATACAACCTTTGAATGAACATAAAAAATGATCATGCAATGAATTTCCACGTGATTCAATTGCTTTATTATAGCAAGGAGACCACAGACAACCATTCACACCTATGGACCATTTAGCATCATTACCCTAACCCTACTAACTGCATGTACCTAAAGGGCCACAAACGCAGGGACAACATGCAAACATGCACAGAAAGCCCAATTGGTGGATTCGAACTCTTGCTCTGAGGCAACAGTGCTACTCACCAACCTGTCACTCCATACTGTAGCAAAAGTAGGAAAGCTACTTGAATTTTTTTTACATTTTTGTCTCGACAGGTTAAGCCACAGTAAACAGCAATAGCATGTACGTGCTGTGTGTTTACTTGCCTCTAATAACCCCAATGACTTTCCTGTGGTTTGAAATCTCTTGTGATCAAGCGCTAACAGCTTCGCAGTCCTCCAGATGTCGATCATGCATCCTCTGAAGATTTGGTTGCCAGGTTGGCCTCTGACTAAGCCTGAAAAACTACCGAGGATCTGTTCATTTTTAATATGACATCTGAGTGATGTGATGTCAATAATAAACAGGCTTTTACCTTTACAGTTTTACAAGGTGAAAAATAGAATATCCACAACTCAGCTAGTGCTGATTTTGAGAGGAGAGAGGTTGAGGAGAGAATGGGCAGAATTTTGTAATCTAACATGGCAAAAATGTATAGCTTCTACGGCACAAGTTTCTTCCGTAATACAGTCAACAAAAATAAAAATAGATGTTAAATTTAAGTATTTGAAAGATTATTAAGTCATTAACTTTGGCAGTTCATGGATTTTGCAAACTATCATCATATGTTGTGGAAACAACTTGATTATTTAGGAAATAGAGTTTTCTACTTTTACGTTGATATAAAATGTGCCAAAATTTGAAAATCGCCTTTAAATGAAATTACTTTTTTAGGGAACAAGTTTGTATTTTTATTTTTCAAAAAACTGAATTTTATATTTTTTTATAGAATAGCTTATAGCATATTGGTATGTAAATATAATAAATAATATAGAAAAACAACACTAAAAATAGTTCACAGAAAGAATTAACAAGATATTCCAACTGATCACAACTTCTACAACAACAATACAAGTCCTGTGTAGAACTGCAATGTTCTTTACATTTTCACTTTCTTTTTTATAATCAAAATTTTATGCATTTTATGAAAATATGATGTGGAGTAAAAGTCGGTAATAAAATTGGTTTGTCTTGTGGTCATCTTCTAACTGCACTGGCCGTGTGTGCTTTTTTCTGCATGCTTGTGTCATCAGATATTATAATCCATCACATACCGGTATGTTTCTTTCCAGGAGACCATGGAGATAACGGCCTTCCAGGACCAAAGGGTGAAAGGGGAGACAAAGGAGAACAAGGAGAGCCAGGTACTGGAAAATGGTAGAGTTTAATATGCCTATACAGTCCACCCTGTGGCAGCTATAGTAAGAGCTGCTCACATTCTCTGAAATCTTATCAAAGTTGCTTCAGTGCATCCTTTACAACCAGCTTCTGTACTGGGGAGACTGGAGATATCATCTCACAGATCAAAGCACGACCCCAGTGCAACATTCAGTACTGTTGGCGACAATATTTTAGCACCTTGGGAACGAGAATGGGTGCCGGGGCAGACCAGACACCAGACACTCCCACCCAAGGAGTAGGAACGGATGCAGGAGCAGGCTGGGTCATGGCTGCCCTTACCTTGGAGTGGCATAAGCAATGATCTGGCACCTGCTGTTCCTACCTGAGAAGCAGGTACTGGAGCGGAAACCAGCAGGGCCCTAACTGATTTGAGACCAGGAAACGCGATTGGCAGAGCCCCAGCCTCCCAAACCTGAGGCACTGGTACGGGTGCAGGGGTAGGCAGGAGCCCAGCTGCCCTCGAAGCAGGAGCTGGTGCCAGCTGGGTCCTAGCCAGTGTCCCCCGAGAAACTGGTACAGCTGCAGGGAATGGGGGGACCTTGGCCACCCTAGGAGCAGGTGTGGGTGCACAACCCATCTCTGCCTGAACTGACTGACTTACACCAATGATCGTTTCAGGCTGTGCTTCTTCATAAACCCTTTCTGAATGAGAAGCATGAGAATTCATCTTTGAGCACAAAAACAGTCTCAGAGAGTGCAGGTCATGAATAAACGAATAGTCTGAGGGAGTCTTTCAAAAAGTAGTTTCATATACATAATCCTCATGCACAGTCTTGTATTTAGCCAGTTCAGAAGCACAAATGTATGTTTGAGCTTCTGGAAAAAAACGAGCCGTTTATTGTGGCTGATAATGAACAAGAACAAAACAGAGAAACAAAATTAAACGAAGAGCCAACCATAAAAAACTAAATACAAAATACCTGAAACACATGGAAAGAATGAGAGGACATGGAGACACGAGGGAGGACAGAAGATTTACAGACTGAGGGAGAGACAATAAATACGCTGAGGGATGACGAGGGAAGTGGAAACAGCTGGAGTGAACAAGATGTGATGAGACAGGGGAAGCAAAACTTAGCACACTGAACACAGGACGAGAGAATGAACAGGAAACACTGAGACTTAAGACATACAGCCGGATACAGCAATGGAGATAAACAAGCAGGGTGTCATGCGGCGGCTGTGTGAAGGCAAGAGAGGACCCAAAATGCACGGCTCTAGACACACGGGGATGAACTCAAAGGCAGGTCTTTATTAACAGGAACATAAGAAGTCATACAAAAACTATACTGGGAGCAACTAAAGCTGAGGCGCTGGGAAGACACGGTAAATGCACACAACCTGGAGGGACGACGCAACACGGAACAAAGGGACACTTTGACATAAATACACAGAAGGTAATGAGGGAAGTGGGAACACACAGGGAACGCAGCTGAGGACAATTACTCGTGACAGAGCGGGGAGGACACGAACCTGAAAATACTGACACCAAGATGTGGACCTTAAACACAACACAGTACACAGAGATGGGCACAGAGAGAGAGGCAGAGAACAAGGATGAATACACGAGGGGATGAGGAGAACACAGAACACAAAGGACGGGAACACGGTACCAGAACAAACACCACAATAAAAACATGGACACAGGAGGGATCCAAATACCAAACCAAACAATCCAATGAACATAAGGAACAAAATACAAAACCACAGGAAAACTAAGAACACTGGGTCAAAATGACCCAGGACCATGACACAGGGAGGCAAACGATGAGACACAAGGAGAGCAACAGCATGTCTACACACACACAAAGTCTAGACATTAGAATTATTTTTATTACTCAAACTGCATATCTCATTCAGCATGTTAATTAGACATATTCAATTCAATACTTTATTGTCCCACAAGGGGAAGCAATAAGAATAAACAAAACAATGATAAAAAGCCACAAGACAGTTATTTGCCATTAAGGAGACGGGTTGCAGTTGGGATAAAAGAAACCTGGAGTCTCTTGTTCTTCCTCACAGGTTCTCTAAAACGACGGCCAGAGTCAAACTCACTTCAAACAATTTATAATAAAAAGAGCCTTCCTTCCTCTTCCTTATATCTTTGATTATAGCTTCAATTTGCACACATGAACTTTGTTTAGCACTCTGTATCACTTTAAACTTAAAAGGCCAGATGTCTTTTTACCCTCTCAGACTTAATAAGAGTCCAACCTTTCTCGACTGGAAGGCAGCCGTCACCTTCCACTTCTTCTCTGGCTCCTCTGTGAGCTCTCGGTATTCCTCGAGCTTCTCACATTCCTTCTTCCTGGTGTTGCTACCACTTGGTATCACTACATCGATCCCTACAGCCTTCTTCCTCTACTTGTTCTTCCCATTCAGCTGACTCCTCAGGATGTTTCTTACGCTCTGCAGGTATTTTGTGGTTGAGACTTTCCGAGCAGTTTGGTTTCCCTCTGTGACACCAAGGTACTTGAAACTGACATCCATTGTTAGTCAGTGGTACCAGCTTCAGTCATTATGCAAATGTACCGGAAAACACAACAAGTTTTAACCATCTAGCTTTGATTGGAGGTTATGTTGAAGAATTTGGAAATCATTGTCGTTCTTCATTATTCTAACAACTTTGTGCAATGGGGTTAGCCAAACAGCTCCAGAGCCAGATGTTATCACCATCATCAAGGTATAAATAATATGCTTCATTTTAAAAGCCCTAACTGTCATGAACAGTCAGGGCAGGATTGGACCCTGAATGCAGACAAGATCATTATATCAATAAGAGAACAGAAAGAGAAAAGTCACAACACAAACTAACCTGTCTAAAGGAAGAAACAACACAACCAACAACCAGACGCACTTCTGTGGCCGGCCAGCCTTCACTAGTAGCAGCAAAAAAACATCTACACTGTTCCCGAAACTGTCAAAACGACTGTGTCTTTCCATTCTGCTCAGCAGAATCTCAGACTCTAGAGAGCAGAGAAAATTGCAAGTGGACCTCAAACAGACTTTATAATGTTTTATGGCTAACTGCTCAGTGAGTCCAGGTGCAGGCTGGGAAAAATGAGCAGCAGAGGAAGAGAAACAGCACCTCACCTGCACATCCCCATTGCATGTAACAGAGGCCAGATGGTTCAGTTTTTGTCTCATCTGGCCATAAACCTTTCCTGCAGAAAGTGAGCAGCTGCTAAAATCGTCAGCTGAAACAAGTATGTAAGTTTATGTTATTTGGATGTTTCACGGCTTTGGTGTTCTTGGTAAATGGCCTGTATTTGTATAGCGCTTTACTAGTCCCTAAGGACCCCAAAGCGCTTTACATATCCAGTCATCCACCCATTCACGCACACATTCACACACTGGCGATAGCAAGCTACATTGTAGCCACAGCCACCCTGGGGCGCACTGACAGAGGCGAGGCTGCCGGACACTGGCGCCACCGGGCCCTCTGACCACCACCAGTAGGCAATGGGTGAAGTGTCTTGCCCAAGGACACAACGACCGAGACTGTCCAAGCCGGGGCTCGAACCGGCAACCTTCCGATTACAAGGCGAACTCCCAACTCTTGAGCCACGATCGCCCACCTTTCTTCTGAAAGGTGACTACAAATGTCACCCTTAGATAAGAGGAAACTGGTTGGGATGTCTGTCTTTTGTTAATTTACATTTAAGAGTTAAAATTTGCTCCCATAAAAGTTAAACAGACGTTTTAAAATCACCATTGTTGTCTTTACAAATGCAGGTCCTAGGAGTCCACCTGGGGATCAAGGAGCAGGTGCAAAGGGAGAGAAAGGCGACCCTGGCAGTCCAGGTAAGGTTTTTGGTTAAATTCATTGCAGCCGTGTTGAGGATTCACTCAAACTCAAACTGAAGCAGATTATACACTAGGGCGACCAATCATCCTCTTTCTCTGCACTTGTTGACTTGTAAAAGACTATATGACATTTTTTATTTCACCATTCATTAACCGCACAGAGAAGGCATCGTTTAAATATGTCAAAGTTTTCTTTAAGGCAAAAAGAATTTTCTGGCACAACTTCACCTGCTTCCAAGGTGCATGGAGAGGATAAAAGAATTCACAAAGCAGAAACTCCAGCAACACTTGAGGGAAGATGAACAACTTTAATAATAGATGTTTCGGCTTGTGGCCTTCATCAGGGTCCTGATGAAGGCCACAAGCCGAGGATATGCTTCCTAGATATTCCAGCATTGTCCCTAGATATATTCCGGTCCTCGGTGACCGACTGCACCAGCGTAGGGGCTGACAATGGATCCCTGGTTTTCAACCCAATCACTAATGGCAGTTATGGTGCCACCGCCTAGGCCAGGGCTGTCGAACTCATTTTACATTGCAGGCCACGTACGACCCATCTAAGCGGTCGGACCGGTGAATCTCCCCTTTCTGTCAGTGTAAAGAAGTTTCATATTTAACAGTTTTTCTACATGATAAAGAAAAAGAAACAAAATAAATATTTATATTAGAAAGTGAAAATCAGAAACCTTGTTTTTCACAAAGTTACAGAGGTTTTATTAGAAACATAGCTACGCGTTTAGCAATTTGGCATAATTCACTACCAATAAAAGGTTACATTTTTTTGTAGTGAATAGCAGGAATTAGGCTTTCTTGTCAGAAGTCATTTTAGGAAAACAGAAAAACAGCAGCCAGCAGTACTGTACACAACTGGTGCGTAATAAACAAGTAAATAAGGCAGATAATAGAGATTTTTGATGGGAAACTGGTCCTGAAGCACACAGAGATGGAGCTGATTTGGTGAATTTGGCTCGCAGAGTGATCAATCCTGCAGTTTTGCAAGATGTCTGTTATGACTTTACATGCCTTTATGCACCTCCCTTTGTTAATCCGTTCAATACTTTCTCCCTGTGTCAATTCTCATTATTACACATAATTTATGGACACATATGGTTTGATTTCTGTGCATGTATGGATAGGATGGGTTGTTACTGTTGTTACTGATTCTCTGGTGAGAATTTTATGTCAATACCACCTTCAGAAATATATTGTCTTGAACGTATACACAAAACTGAATGTGTACACAAAACTGAATGTGTACACAAAACTGAATGTGTACACAAAACTGAATGTATACACAAAACTGAATGTGTACACAAAACTGAATGTGTACACAAATCCAGAAATAAACGGACTGAAAATTATTTAAGGCTTTTCAAGCCTAAC